CTATAGCTCTGGCAGGCTGTGGTGGCTCTTGGCTTGTCTCTGTACCTCTCTGGTCCCAAGGCCATCTCTCCACACCTTTTTTTTTTTTTTTTTTTGATGCAGGGTTTCCTTATAGCCTTAGCTGACCTGAACTTGCTGTGTAGACCAGGTTGGCCTTGATTTCACAGAGATCTGCCTGCCCCTGCCTTTGCCTCCTGAGTGTTGAGACCAAAGGTGTACACTACCACACCCTACTTAATTTTTCCTTTTTAGTATTTATGTCACTTGTCTTCAATTGGAGTTTAGTAAATGTTCTAATTTCAACTTGATTACTTGTGTAAAGATCTAAATAAGGGTCACTTGCTTGGATATTGGGGTTAAGATGTCAACATATGGTTTTTTGAAGTACAAAGACCAAATCTCAGCTCCATCTGAGATATTTACAGAGATCTATACAGATAAACATTTACCAAATACCAAGTTTTTACTATTTTTCCTCTTTCTGAATCAAATTCTTGTCCTAATTTATTTGAACTTCTCTCTTGTATGAATAATGTCATATTTTTTACATGAATCAATGACTGGATATCATAATTTTGGGTTGAACTATTCAAAATAACTTCAAAATATGCTATAGACTATTGTGATGATAAGTCTCCTAAAATGGATTTTGTGTGAAGTGTGGGAATTATTTGAGCTGTCGGGGTGGAGGTGTTTTCTGTCTGTATCATTCTGGTTCTCTCTTAGAATCTCTTCCTCCAGTTATGATTGCACAGTGGTTGCCAGTAGGACATATTCCAATGTTTGTCATAAAAATGCATGAATACATTAGTGAATAACGCTGAAGTGGTAGCCTATAGGCACCTAGAAATGTGGTTCTGAAATATTAGAAAGAAATAAGGGATAGTAAGGTAGATCAGTAATTTTTCCTCATTGGTGTCAAGGTAGGAAGATAGGAGAAGTCAAGATCACCCTGGATTAGAATATATACTAAGAAGGTGGAAAACAGACTTAACTGGGAAGAAGCTGTGACTTAGCAATCACTTAAAGATAGAAGTAAGGTGGGAAGAGAGCAGGAAAAATTCCCACCAGTTTAATATGTTTATTGGTTTTCTTCCTACCTTCACCATTAGGGTTTCAGAGATGTTCTTCCAACTGAAGGAACTGAATGAAAAGGTGTCTTTTATAAAGGATTCCCTCCTGTCCTTGGACAGCCAGGTGGGACACCTGCAGGATCTCTCTGCCCTGACTGTGGACACCTTGAAGGTCCTTTCTGCTGTTGACACCTTGCAAGAAGATGAGGTTCTTCTGGCCAACAGAAAGCATTCTTCTGGCAGAAAACGTCCCCACAGCTGGACAAACGTCATCTGTGCAAATGTTCTAGGCGGCAAGGAGAGCTCTGGAGAGAAGGAATTCCAGTTCTATAGCATGCCCCCTTCTTTGCTGCAGAACTTAGCTAGAAGCCAGCTTCCCCCAAGAGAGAAGAGAGGTACCTTCCTGCAGACTACACACAACAAGAGAGAGGCCTCCCATGTAAGAGAAGACCAGGAGAAGCAAGAAACAGAATCAAGTACAGTTGCCTCTGGGGTATCCCATGTCAGTCAAGCACACTCTAGGTATGGCCAGTTTCTTCTGGTCCCTTCTTCTGAAAAGGAAGTTCACTTGTCTTCAGAAACTGTCTCACCTCTGATCAGACCGTCTGAAGAGGCAGATGCAGATGCTCTGGTAAAGGAACATACCTCCCAAAGGGAGGTCCCTGTCCATCTGCCTGAGCAGACCCCTACTGCCTCCCATCAGCCATTGGTGGCTGAACGCAAAGAGCAGCATGAACCAGTCACACAGACATCAGACAAACATGACAAGGTAGAGCAAGGTTCCTCACTCACTTTGAATTGCACATCTGCATGCATGACAATGACCTCTCTCCCTTCTCCAGTCATGAACTTGGAAACTGAAGGTGGATATGTGAACTGGGCATTTTCAGAAAGTGATGAAGCTGGTGTGTTTAGTTTCAGGAAGAAATGGCAAACCTGCTTGCCCACCATTTGTAACACTACTCAGGGAGGAGAATGCCCCGGGAAGATCCGAGGCAGGTTCCTATTGAGTAACTCAAGAAGACTGGCCCAGAGGAATGATTGCTCAGCCGTGGTGGGGCTGCGGCCTCAGTCAAGGTGTTTTTGGATCAATCCTCTCCGCAGAAACAGACTTCTCTTTAGGAGTCATAGTTTCAGATTCCACAAGGAGGAGAAACTGATGAAGATCTGTAAACTGAACAGTAAGGAGTGAACATTGTTTTAAAGCTTTATCATTTGCATGGCTACCCGGGCTCCGGTGCGCTGTCATTCATTCTCCTAGCCCTCTGAAACAAAGGTGTCCCTCTGTGCTGTCTTCAGCAGTCTCACGCTCACCACTTCCTTCTAGGTCATTCAGGATCCTCAGAGACAGGGATCAAAGCAAAACTCCTAATGAAAGACAGGAGCCTGTCAAAGAAAAAGAAGAGAACTCAAGGCTTCCAGGTGCCTGTAAGTGTTCTGTCTTCTGTGATTTAGGCTCTGAGCAGTTGAGTCAGTGGTATATTTTCTTGACTCTTCTTTAAAGTGTCACTTTAAAGCATTATATTTATAATGCTTTATAAATATATTTATAATGCTTATATATATATATATAAAATAGCATTATATTTGGAAGAGTGAACGTGCACATTTCAGAATCATCCCTGTGAATATACTTTAACTTACATGTTGAAAGACATTTGGGTTGTTTTCAGTTTGGGCTGCTGCGAGGAAGCTGGAATGAGCACTGTGTATAAGTCTTTCTGTGGACATTTATTTTCATTTCTCTTTGGCAAGTGTTTGCGGGGGGAGATAACTGTCAGAGGCCTATGGTGTTTAATTATTAAAGATACCCCCATGTGGGCTTCTGCGCACCTGTAGTTTATGAGCACGCCAGTGTTCTGCATACTCATCTATCTTTGCACCGCTCAGTCTTTGATCACAGCCGCAGTCCTACTGTAGTGTTAGTCAGTATTGACTGAGGCTCTAGGGACATTTGCTATGTGTTTATTTGCTATCCTGATTCCTCTTTTGGTTTACTTTCTTATTAGAAAGTTGTAAATGCTTTTTATGTGTTCTAGTCTTTAGTTGGACATATGTTTTTGCAAATATTTTCTCCCATTGGTAGCTTCTCTGGAAACATGCAGTTGTTTTTTTTTTTTTTTTTTTTTAATTGATCAAGTATATGACTTTTTTCTTTTGTGGTTTAACTTATTTTTTCCAAACTCAAGATTAAGACTTTGTCTCATGTGGCAGTTCCAAACTTTTAGATCTAGAATCCATTTTGAGGTAACTTTTATAGATGGACGTAGGAAAGGATTGAATTTTCTCCCCTATATCGATTTCAAAAATTTTATCATTTTTGGTTAAAAGATGACTTTTTTCTATCGAGTTACCTTAACATCATTGTCAAAAATGAATTAGCTATATAGGTCCACAGTATGTGTGGGTCTATTTCTGTCTATCTTCATGCCATTACTAAATCTATCTCGACTACTGCAGCTTTATAATAAGTTGTGAAATCATGCATAAAAGAAATTTTTCATTTTTCAAGAAATGATTTGGCTATTTTATGTTCTCTGCATTTCCATACAAATTTAGGCTCAGATTTCAGTTTTTACAGAGAAGCCTTCTGGGATTTGGAATAGAATTGCTCTGAATCTGTATGTCAGTTTTGGAGAAATTGACATCTTAACCATAACTAGTCTGATCCATGAAAGTGATATATCTGTCTACCTATTATGTCTTTTTAAACTTTTCTCAGTAATTCTTTGTAGATTTTAGTGTTCAAGTTTTGAATATGTTTTGTTAAATGTGTAAGTTTTTAAAATATGTATATGTTTTAAATTTTATTGTAACCAGCTAGTTTAAAAATTTAAATTTAAGATTGCAGTGTATGTATACACATACATGTATGTGTGTGCGTATGTGTGTGTATGTTTGTGTGTGTATATATAAAGTCTTGGTCTTATATTTCACAATCTTGGTTAAGCCTTATGTTTTTGAATAATTTTTAAAAATTATTTATTTAATAACCACATACTTAGAAGAAGCATTTCATTACATCAGCATTGACATACTCAATAACAATTTTCTGAGCTAGGATGCATCTCTTACAAAATTGGCTGTACATTTTTAGGTTTATAGTTGAATTATTACAGTTATACAATATTGTACTCAGTATAAACCCTATAAGACATAAAATTAAATGAAGTTTTAACCTTTAAAAAAGATCCCAATTTCATTATTAAAATACAGAGTTTCATGCAGAAAACTTCATTTTTAATGCAATTGACATTAAGATGTTTGCACATGCATTTCTAATCTCTATGTTTAGAATGTTCTATATAAATGATGATACTGTCTATAAGTTTTAATGTTATTTTTCAATTTGGTTAGCTTTTATTTCTTTTCTTTCCTGATTATGCTGACTAGAATCTTTAGTACTATATTAAATGAAAATGAGAAAGACATGTATCTTTTCCATTTTTTCAAATGGTACCCAGGGCCTTGTACCGTTCCTTAATTTTATTCATGGGGGAAGGCATTTGGTCCTTTAGCAGTAAAATATGATGTTAGTGGTAGATTTCTATATAGATGCTTTTGACAAGGATGGAAATGTTCCCTTCTATTCCTAGTTTTATGAAAATCTTTGTCAAATGCTTTTTGTGCATTGACAAAGATGATTAGATGGTCTTCTTTATAATACATTAATTGATTTTATATGTTAAAATTAATGTTTAGAATATTTAATCTGCATTACTGGGATGAACTGCACTTGGTCTCATATCTACTTTTACATACGGTATTGTTTGCTATAATTTTACTAGTCTGTTGTGTCTGTGGTCCTGGGGACACTGTCTCTAGTTCTTTTATTGCGGTAGCTTTGGTTGGGGCACAGAATGATGCCAGGCTACTGGCTGGATTGGGAGTGTGTCTTTAGTTTCCTATGTGAGTTTATAAGAAGTTGATAGTCTTTCAATAGTCAGCCTATTCAATAGTCAGTTGAATTAGTCAGTAAAACCATTCTCGTGGGTAGTTTTTAACTACAAATGAAATATCTCTTTACAAGTTATAGAGCTATTCAGATTATCAAGTTCTGTTTTTAAAGATTTTATTTTTTTAATTAAATTTTTGTGATTTTTTTTCATACAGTATAGTTTGATAGTATTTAAATCCCCTCCCCATCTGCACCTCTCCCTACTGCCCCTCACCCAATTTAATACACCTATAGAGTCTGATTTGTGGCCCCAAGTGTCCTTCAGTGTGGATCCATCCACTGGGCCCACCAAGAGTCACATCCCTGTAAGACACTGTCTTTCCCTCTCCCAGAAGCTATCAATTGCTAAAAGTTTCTTAGGTTGGGTTGAGATTTCTTACACACTTCCCCTTGCCTGTGCTGGGATCTTGTCTGATTTGAGCTTGCATAGGACTTGTACATGCTGTCACCGTTCCTGTGAGTTCATATGACTAAATTGACCAGCTTTCTGGAAGACTGTGTTTCCTTGTGGTCATCTATGCCCTCTGGCTTTTACAATCTTTCTTCCTCCTCTGCTGCAATGATCTCTGAGCCTTGGGAGGCAGATGTTTGAAACAGGTGTCCTATTTAGACATAAGGACCCTTTGGCCTCTTGTTCTCCACACATTGGTCAATTGTGGGTTTCTGTGTTAATCACCATCAGCTGCATAAGGAAACTTCTCTGGTGAGTGCTGAGAGTTGCATCCATCTTATGTGTAGAGGGTACACAGAAGATGTGTTACTTAGGGCTAAGTGTCTCACAGAAACTTATTCTCTGCACTTGACCAGTTCTGGAACTCTATAATAGTCTTCATCTGTTGCAAAAAGAATCTTCTTTGTTGAGGGATGAAAGGCACACTTGTCTGTAAATATGAGGATGTGTATTCAGAATAAAGTAAGAAATTACACTGATCTAAGGATGTGGCAAAAGTAGGTTTGTCTCTGGGATCTATGACATCTCCCCTCATGTGTATTTGGCTATATTTATTATACCACACATGAAGTCCCTCTCATTGAGTGGGCCTTAATTCCTATTAGAGAGTTGTTGATTACTCCCAAGATAAAAGTATCATTACTGTACCAATAGTGATAGTTTGCTGGGCCAGTCACTGTTGTTTATTAGGCTTTACAGATGGGTAGGACCATTGATAAATTTTCTCCCTTGGCAGCTTATATAGTATACCCTGATATCATGAGAGTTAGTCTTCAGGGAAGAGGCTTCCGGGTCAGTTCCAGCTTAATTGCTCCTAGTCCTGTGTCCAAAATGTGACCTGTTTTCAGCAATAGGGTCTTTACCTTCAAGTTTTGGGAGGCAGTCAAGGCCTGTGGTAATAACCTTTGTTCTTTTGGATGTCTTTTGAACTACCCTGACTAACAACTTGAAAGGGGATTTCTTCTTCCCGGCACTGTGTTTTTTGTCATATAGCTTTCAGCTATACACATAAACTTGTATATTTATTGTATGTGTAATTTTTAGTAGGACTTTGAACTAATACATTCCCCTCCGGATTTTCATACCCTGTCTAAGCATTATTTATCTCTCATCTCACTCCTCTGTATAACTCTCCCTACTCCCTCCCCAGTTATAGTAACCCCCTTCCCCATTTCCTCCTTAATAACACCTATCTCCTACTGCCCCCTCTCTCGAGGTCCTTCTTGCCATTTATCTCCATGATTCCTTTCCATTTTCCTGGTTCCTGCACTTACATCAGGATATTTACTCATATCTAGGGATTTGGAGTTAAGATCCACAAATGAGAGAGAACACGTCTCTTGTTTTTCTGAGTCTGTGTTACTTCATTTAGTATCAGCAAAGTGGCAGGTTTCAAAATGAATCAACATATATCTATTCACAATAGCCTCACGGAAGTAAAATATTTAGGAATAAAACTAACCAAAGGCATTAAAGACCTATTCAATGAAAACTCAAACGTTTGAAGAAAGAAATCGAGGAAGAGAGAAGGAGATGGAAAGACTATCCATGCTCACGAATTGGTAGGATCAATATAGTGAAAATGTCTATCCTACCCTAAGCAATTCATGGATTCAATGCAATCCCAATCAAAATTCCCATGATATTCTTCACAGAAGTAGAAATCCATCCTAAGATTCATATGGAAACATAAAAGACCCCAGATAGCCAAAGCAATCCTGAGCATAAACAGCAATGCTGAGGTGATTACCATATCAGACTCAAGCTATGTTACAGAACCATAGTCATAAGAACAGCATGGTATTGGCATAAAAACATAGTTGTTGATCAGTGGAACAAAATAGAAAGCCCAAATGTCAGCCACCTTATATTTGACAAAGGAGTCAAGAACACACACTGGAGGAAAGACAGCATCTTCAACAAATGGTGGTGTCAAAATTTATCTCCACATGTAGAATAGAATTAGACCCATCATCCTGCACAAAAGTCAACTCCAAATGAACCAAGGACCTCAGTATGAAGCTTGAAATGCTGAAATTGTTAGAAGAATAACTAGGCAGTACCCCACAAGATATAGGTGCAGGAAAGGACTTTCTAAATCGGACATCAGTCACTCAGGAATTAAGGCCATCAAATCAACAAATGGGACCTCATTGAACTAAAAAGCTTCTGTATAGCAAAAGAAACAACTAATTGAGTAAAGAAAAAACCTACAGAGTGGGAGAAAATCCTCACCAGCTATCCATCTGACAGAGAGTTAACATCCAGAATATTCAGAGAACTCAAAAACAAAGAAGCAAGAAAATAAATGACCCAATTAAAAAACAGGCTATGGATTGGAACAGAGAGCTCTCAAAAGAAGAAACAATAATGGCTAAACTTTCTTAGTAATTAGGGAAATGCAAATCAAAACTACTGCTTTAGGATTTCATCTAATCCTAGTCAGAATGGCTAAGATTAAGAGAACTACTGATACTAAATGCTAGAGTGGATGTGAGGAAAGGGAACCCCTCATTCCCCGTTGGGGGGATTCCAAAGTGGTGCAACCACTGTGGAAACCAGTATGGAGAACTCTTAAAAAACTAAAAATAAGGGGCTGGAGAGATGGCTCAGCGGTTAAGAACACTGGTTGTTCTTGGTTGTTCTTGCAGAAGACCCAGGTTCGAATTCCAGCACCCACATGGCAGCTAACAACTGTCCATAACTCCAGTCCCAGGGGATCTGGCAGCTTCTGACCTCCGTGGCATTGCATGACACAGGTGCACTTACCTACATGCAGGCAATACACGCATACACATAAAAAAACCAAAAAACTAAAAATAAATCTGCCATATGATGTGGTCAAACCACTCCTTGACGCACACCCAATAGGCTCATCCTGCTGTAGAGATACTTGCCCAGCTATGTTTGTTGCTCTTTTTCTTTTCACAATAGCTAAGCAGTGGAAACAACTTAAATGTCCATCAGCTAATGAATGGATAATGAAAATGTGGTACATTTACACAATGGAGTTCTTCTCAGGGGTAAAGAAAAGTGAAATCATGAAATTTGCCCGTAAATGGATAGAACCAGATTGTCAAATAATTTTTTTTTTTCTTTTTGGTTTCTTTTGAGACAGGGTTTCCCTGTAGCCTCAGCTGTCCTGGAACTCACTATGTAGACCAGGCTGGCCTTGAACTCACAGAGATCTGCCTGCCTCTGCCTCTTGAGTGCTGGGATTAAAGGCCTGCACCACGACGCCTGGCCAGATTATCAAATTCTTAAGTGAGGTTTTTTTCTATATTTCAAAGACGTTGTCCATTTTATTTAAGTTCTTGAGTTAGTTGGCATAGTGTTATTTACAGTATTCCTTCCTCGCTCCCTACCCCTCAACTCTGTCTTTGAGTTGGGGTCTCACTAAGTACCCCTGGCTGGCCTGGGACTCATGAGTCTCTTGCCTCAACCTCTCAGGAACTGTGACTCAGTCAGCTACCAGCCTGGCTATGGCCTTCTCTTGTTATCTTTTTTTTGCTTCCAGGACTTGTGGTGACATCATTTCTTTCATTCTGAACTTTGGAAATTTATGTTTTCTTTCTTTGTTTCATGTCCAGTTTGGCTATAGGTTTTTCTGTGTCATTGATCTTCTCAAAACACCAACTTAATTAAATTGATTTTTTCCCTGATTTCAATTCCATTTTTTTCCCACTTCCTCTGAATTTGACTTGTTTTTCTCTTTCTAGTTTGTTAAGTCAGACTCTTTGGTTAATGATTTGGGATTGTCTTCTTTTTAAATATTTTATTATTTTTTGTTTTATGAATATAAGTGTATTGCCTGCATGTATATAAGTGCACCTATGCCATGTAATGCTCTTGGAGGTCAGAGAGGGCATTGAATGCCCCTGGAATTGGAGTTATGAATGGTTGTTAGCTGCCATGTGAGTGCTGGGAATCTTTTTTAATATATTGTTAGGATGTCTCTAAATTGACAATTTTGCAAGAATTTTCCTTTCATGGTCTTCATGTCTTATTTCATTTTTCTCCTTTATACTTATTTGTTTTTCAAATAATCTAGATGCTTAAAAAACACTTCAGCTCTTTTTATCATAAGACATAGAAGTGTAGAAACCTGGGTGGAGACAGTTATATAAAGTTGTCTTTTAGAGGAGAGATTTATCTTGATAAGGAAAGCTGTTGTCTTAGGGAAATGGCACGATCTGCTGGAACCACACGCAATAAGCATTTAAGGAGATTTATTTTGGAATACTTCAAATGGTCAGAGTTCAGCTAGGAACTGCAACTGAACTCAAGTACTCAAACTTGCATCAGTTTATTGCTTTGGAATTTACCAGTCTGCATGTTCTTGCTCTCCGGGAAGGATGGAAGGCAGGCATAGTATATTACTTGAGTGATGCTTGAGGACAATGAAGGATAGAAAGATGAAACAATTTTTCAAGTTCATGCATGTTCTAGCTGATAGGAGTAGTACTTCGAATCAAAACCTTGCCCTCTCTATACCAATAGTTCTCAAAATAGGATCTCTAATCGGCAGCCTGATCTTCACTGGGAACTCATTAGAAAGTCAAGATCCCTTTACCTCTAGACCTTCTGAATAGAAATCCTAAGGGTGGAGGCCTGTGACTGGCCTGAGCCCTGGATGATTCTAATGATCATTCTGGATCCTGATTCACATTCTGGTTCTTAATGAGAACTGCAAAGACAACCTGCTAGCCTGAGTGATAGGGTTTGTCAGTGTTCCTGGTGATTGAAAATGCAGTCAGGATTAGCCACTGTGATGCCTCTATTATTGTGATGCAAAATGTTTTCAGATTAACATCACTGTAGTCCAACAAATGACTTTTTCTCCAGGTCATAACAGTCAACACCTGCTATCAAAGTGACCAACTGAATTCAGAGCCAAATGAAAACAACACTTCTGAAGAGAATTGCAGCAAGAAGCTTCTGTCAGTGTCCCAGTTCAGCCAGATAAGTATGTGCCTGGCCTTGGACCCCAACACCCAGCAGAGCCCCCCCAGAGTGTGGTGTTTATACCATTGTTGGTTTCTGCTGTTCTTTCAAGTAGAGAGGCAGGGTGGGGTGGGATGGGGTGGGGTGGGGGATGGTGGAAGAGAAGATGCTACATCTCTAAAGGAAACAGCTCTTTTTTTGCTTGTAATGCTTACGGAAGGGACAAAATTTAATTTGCTTAAAAGAGTAGTTGTCAGAATCTAGAAAAGAAATATTAAAATTTAGATTGCCTCATGTTCAAAGAGTGTTTTTCCCAAATAATGCTAATTCAGTGTGACTTACAGGGTGAGGAGTTTTTCTTTTTTTTTTATATTTTATTTATTATTTTTATTTTATGGGTATGAGTGTATTGCCTGCATGTAGATAACTGCACTCGTGTTGTGCAGTGCCCATGGAGGACAGAAGAGGTTGTCGGATCCTGGAGCACATAAAATAAAAATAATAAATAAAATATTTAAAGGGGGGGGGCTGAAGAGATGACTCAGAGGTTAAGAACACTGGTTGTTCTTCTGTCTCTAACTCCAGTTCCAGGGAGTTTTTCTAATTTTCAGAACCCCTGATACTGATAAGGAGCCTTCTTCAGAAGTGAGTGAACTAGTCATTGTTGGCTGTTTGTTGCAGCCCACATAGAGTGTGTATCTGTGGTCAAGTGTTCCTTAAGCTTAACTATGGTGCATGGACAGGGGGCAGCTGGGCAAGAGAGCAGCAAGCTGGGCATGGGAAATAAGTAAGATGAATGTGGACAGTGGGCAGAAATGTGACCAGTAATCCACTTTGAACAGCTTGCTTGAGATAAGAGATCACTACCATTTTTTTTTTTAAAGAAGAAATCATGTGATCAAGGAGACACAGATTTAAAATTCTTAAGATACATTAAAAAGTACCAATAAATACTACATTAAAGTTTAGTTTCCTGAACATCTTTATTAACCTTCTTTGCTCTTATGGTTAGTGGTTCTCAACCAAGTGGTAATTTTTCACACCTACCCAACCTTTTGCCCTCCCCTGAGGATATTTGGCAAACTCTTCAGACATGTTTAGCTGTCACAGTTAAAGGGAAATTCTCTTGGCATCCAGGGGAAGAGACCGGGGATGCTGCCAGCATCCTGTGATGGCACAAACTCAGGACAGATAATCTTTCGGACCCAAGACATCAGTGCCAAGATGGAGAGACCCTATTTTATATTTTAAAATACTGAGCTATCTATTAAACCACTGAAAATCAAGGGGATCAAAAGCTGAAAGAAGCATTAGAATTTAAATTGGAACCCCGTCAATTTACAAGTATGTTGTTCACAGTTTACTAGAGATCATACGTTTCAATATATGACATCCATCCATAAAGACACAGTTCTAGACAGAGGTGGTGGTGGATGCCAATAATTTAAGCACTCAGGAGGTTGAGGCAGGAGGATTGTGTGTTCCAAGCCACGCTTTGCTGTAAGTGAGCCCCTACAACACAATAAAAACAAAAAAGCAAACAAACAATAAAACGACAAAACCTTGAGTCTAGGATGAACTATATCCACTTAATTTAGAAATGCCGACTATTTATATAACATTATATATTACAGTTTTTACAAATTGTGACCCATGTTTTCATACATTTTTGATTTGGGGGGATATTAATTGTAAGCAATGAGTTTCATTGTGATGTTTTTGTATGAGTATAATGTCCTTTGATCATGCCCCTTTATCACCCTCTCTTGTCATGCCCCTCTCCTGCTGGCCCTCTTCCTAAACAGCCCCCTTCCTAGTTCCATGTTCTTTTAAATCTAGAGTTCACGTGTGAGAGGAAGCACACGAGGATTCTCCCACGGAGTCTGCCTCATTCTGCTTCCTGTGACATTCTCCATTCCTTACCCTATAAATGATATCAGTTCCTTCTTCGTGGTAGAATGAAACACCATGGCACATATCTTCATGTTAATAGAATATTTCATTGCATTATATTATTTTATTCTTGAGTACCTAAGTTCTTTCCACTAAATTTCATACAGGAAGATGTAGGTGTTGGAAAGGTCGTCGAGAAATCTTGTTGAGAGTAGAAATAAGGCCAGGAAAACTGGCTGAGTCCCACGTCTCAGCTGATGTGATGAGACCTAGTGTCTTTCCTGAAACACATCTTGGGTTGAGAAATTTATTTCTTTTGAAACATGTTAAGAACTAATTGACTAAAAAAGAACTTTAAAAAAAGATTAAGAATTTTGGAGTTCCAAGTTTCTTTGTCTGTATCTCTCTCGGAATCAGAGTCTCATCCAGCTCAGGCTGGTCTCAAATTTGTTGTGTAGCTGAGGAAATCATATTATTCTCAGAACTAATTCCAAGTATGTGTTAAGTAAATAGAGAGCACCTGCTACCTGCAGTGACTGAAGGGTCTTGGTGTAAAAAACAAGGAAACATGGTACACGCCTTTAATCCCAGCACTGTGGGAGGCAGAGGCAAGTGGCTATCTGTGAGTTCAAGGCCAGCCAGCTGGGGCTACATAGCAACTTCCAAGCCAGCTGGGACAGCTGGGAGACCCTGTCTTAAAAAGACCAAAACAACAACAAAACAAGGCAACAGCAACCCTAATTATCCTCTTAAAGAGAAGTGTGAAAATTAAGCCAGCCCGGGCGACGGAATTCGTTCCTTTCTGTCTTTTGTCATTATTGTTAGCTGTTTAGCCCACTTTGGTGCCCAGTAAACTCACTAAGAAAGGATTCCTGAGGATTTGAAACTAAAAAATTATTTTAAATAATATATAAATGTCATATTTTTCAATTTTTTGTGTGTGTCTGAGTGTCATGCCTGCCTGTATGTAATCACACCCGTGTCATGCTGTGCCTGCGGAGGACAAAGGACCTTGCATCCCTTGGAACTGGAGTTACGGAGGCTTGTTACCTGCCATGTGGGTGCTAAGATTCAAACCTGGGTCTTCTGCCAGAACAGCCAGCGCTCTTAACCACTCAGCCATCTCTCCAGCCCCAAATTTCATATATTTTGGATGAAGTATGAACAATAGCGTGCAGGAGAGGGTGGTTCCAAAAAGTTTTGCTAAATGTGATTTATACAAGGAAAAGATTATGGATTGCTTAATTACTGACTTCCATAGAGAACAGGTAAAGCCCTTGCTGTGCAAGCTTGGTGGCTGGTGTTTGATCCCCAGAACTTGCATAAAGGTGAAAGGAGAAGACTCCATAAAGTTGTCCTTTGACCTCCACGTGTGCAACATGACACATGTGCATCCCGCGCACATCACAAACAATAATAATAAATTGACTAGTAAAACAGAAGCAGACATTGCTATCACCATGAAAGCATCTTTGGCAGAATGGAAATATAAGGTATAGTTTTTGATAGATGAAAAAAAAAAAAAAAAGGAAAATGGAACTTCATAAAACTTGCTAAAAACAGAAAGAGAAAACTATATCCAAGTTTAAATAAATGCACTGTGTTCAGATTTTTCTATTTGGGAATCATGATTTGAATGTAACACATTTTCATCAACTTTCTATTTTTTCCCCCTTTTAAAACAAGGTCCAGAACCTTATATGTGTCAGAAAAGGAAAATGAAAGAAATTGAGCAACATTCCGCACAAGTCGGTGATCACCTGAAGCGGTCTCAAGAGGTAAAAACATTCTGATAGTTCTCACTATTTGTGCATTTGTGTGTTTAGCCCTTAACTTGGATGTACCCATTTACCCCTGTGTACCGTAATTGGCTTCTTTTTTTTTTTTTTTTTTTTGTCCTTTATTTATTTTTTTGAGACAGGGTCTCCCTGTAGCCCCAGCTGGCCTAGAACTCACTATGTGGACCAGGCTGGCCTTGAACTCACTGAGGCCCACTTGCCTCTGCTTCCCGAGTGCTGGGATTAAAGGCGTGCACCACCACTCTCTGCTGGCTTCTACTCTTCACAGGTGTCTGATTGAAATCTTTGGAGCTGTGCTCAGGCAAAGCCCCGCTTGGTTTAACTTCTATGTTACTCTTTCTTTTTTGCAAGTTGACAATCAAAATTAATCATCACGTCTCTCAAGTTGGACCGTCTCTTCCTTTCAGATCATTAGTTAATTTTGTACATTAATCCTTACTTCTGTGAAATACATTTGTGTATTATACTTTCCTCTTGATGTTTCTATAGAAGTAAATTTATCAGCCACCAATATTTGAGGCTACCCTGGTAACATGCTGACATTATGTGTCTTTCTAACTTCCTTTCTTTTGTTTATTAAAAGAGAAACCTTGAGCCAGAGGAGGGAAAAAGGGGTGTGCTTTGCCTCCGAGTCATGGGAAGCATGGGGTGGAGTGTGCCGGATGCCCTTGTAATGTCCATTTCTTTCTGCTCAGGACCTGGGTGAAAACTCTTTGTGGAATTCCTGGAGCACCAGCCTCTATAGGAATTTCCTGTGAGTATGTCCTTAGGGCTCATGAAAGGCTTTCATAATCTGCTTTTAACCTGATTGGGAACAAAGGTTTAGTTTGGTCAGATAAGGAAGGAAAAAAATGTATATCAAGTGCCATAATTTTTCCTTTATCAGTATGAATGAATAAAAATTATTTTCCATTTTCTGGCAATAATTTCTCAAGGGACCCACGTGCCTTTACAAGTGCTGAAATGACCGAAGAATACTGAATAATGAAGCGCGTACTCCTACAGCAGATGAACTATTGGCCTTTACAGTATCAAAAATCCACATGGAGTAATGGTTATCGTGTCTTTTTTCAGATAGATAAGATTGTGAATGTGGAGCTGTATGTGGTGGCGCACGCTTTTAGTCCTAGCACTTGGGAGGCAGAGGCAGGCGGATCTCTGTGTTTGAGGCCAGCCTGGTCTACATAGGGAGTTCCAGGCCAGCTGGGGCTACAGGGAGACCCTGTCTCAAAAAAGACCAAAAAAGAAAAAAAAAAAAAAAAGAGAGAGAAAGGAAAAAAAAAGAAAAGATTATGAATGTGGTTTAAAGGATAGGAATACTTGCCTAAAGGACAAGCCTGATTATATTTATTCTCTGGAGCTGGAGAGATGGCTCAGAGGATAAGAACACTGGTTGTTCTTGCAGAAGACCCTGGTTTGAATCCCAGCACCCACATGGCAGCTAACAACTGTCTGTAACTCCAGTTCTAGGGGATCCAACAGCCTCTCTGTTCTCCGTGGCACGGGTGCGCTTACCTACATGCAGGCAATACACACATACACATAATAAATAAAATATTAAAAAAAATCCTTTCCCCTCCCTAATATGTTCCTTTTAGATAATGAGGTTGGCCTTTAGTTCTTGCTCTTCAGCATTGTAACTGTCAAGGCATTAACTCCGACAAGGACTGAGGCAGAGCAGGAGAGAAGGGCTGGAGGGTGCGTGAACTCACCCGGTTATGTAGTCAGGTATCTTCCTGAATTTTGTTTACTCAGAGAAATTAAAATTTGAAACCCAACCAAGTAAAGATGGTTCTATTCTATCCTTTTTTTTTCCCCAAGAGACAGGGTCTCACTATGCTACCCAGGCTTGCCCTAAACTCCTGAGCTCAAGTAATCCTCCTGCCTCAGCTGTAGTTATGTGCCACTGCGCCGGGCCGATGCTTTGACTCTGTAATGTTTCTTGGATTTTTCTAGTTGCACCAACAATTATCTGCAAAGTGATGGGAGAGGGAGGTAGTGGCTATGTGGGAAGGCCGGTTGCTCTGAGGAAGGTAGAAGGTGACTTGCAGCCGCAGTCCTCAGCTCTGCTGAGACGGCCCTTCTCTGGAGTTTCTACCACAGCCGCGTGCAAGTCTGCTTCTAGACATAAAGGACACATGACTTTCTTCTCCCAAAGGTTCGGTAGTTTATGCTCATGCAGAGTGGTGGGTTATTGCAGCATGAAATTAAACAATAATTGTAATTGTACTTTCTTCCCCCAGGACCTTAAATACGGGAGATATTCTTTGAATGTATTTATTTAGACTTGCCCGTGGCCACTTGTGCACTTGAGCAGGGCAAGTAACAATTTAAAGAGAGCTAATTTCAGCCTGTGAACATTTAGGGGCCACGTGGGCTAATGAAACTGATTTGTAGGCTTGTCCAGAGACATTCACAGACTCATTTGTAGGCATCTGCTTTGCATAGTTCAAGCACCCTTTAGTTTAATTGACCCAGAGTAGCACAAACACTGTTACATCTTATATATGTTGTGTGATCACATAGCTAATTAGAACAACAACAACCATTTTTCAATTAGCTTGGTGTGTAGATGGTAACTTACTGTATATCTGGCATTCATATTCTATGGGAATAATTGCATGCTATAAACGTCTCTATGAGTAAAATATGGATATGATGAAGCTGAGACTTTCATATATGTACTATATATGTGTATATACATTCTTTGTTGTTTCTGTTTCAGATGATTTTTCTCTTCTCTAATAGTTGAAAGATTAAAAATAACATTGCCTAAGTAATTTCATTTTTCTCCAAACAGGATGAGAAGCCCAAATGAAGTTGACAGTAAGTTTTTGTATTTAAACACTTTCATTTTTCATTTATTAAATAGTGGAGATCCTTGTCCTGCTGAAAATTTTATAGTTCTTGAATTTGTAGTCTCTCTTTTTAAAAATCTACTATACGAAGTAGAAAATTCAGTAGAAAAATAGACATATTCCAGAGAAACCAAGACTGATGTGTGGTCTGACAGTTTGTTTCATTTTTGTGGTAGTGGGAGTTGAACCCTTGTGCACTGTAGTTAAGCACTTTACCGCTGAGCTAGATCCCCAACTTGAATGACCTATTTTTTACTACAATGTTCCTATTTTCTCTTTGAATGCAAGGAGGTCTGCCAAACTCATTTGGACTCTCTGATACTTTATGTGTTAGGCTTTTACAGATTGCTCACTAAGAGTCAGCTATATATGGTATACAGAGGTCTTCTCTATGGTTTCAACAAGACTCCTTGCCCAAAGTGGCCGAACAGGGCCAACTCATATATACCCAGCAGCTCTGTGTGTTTGTTATTTCTCTTGGGTGTAGACTACTGCCTGACATGTAGTAGGTGCTCAATTAGTATGTGTTAAATAAATATGATTATGATCTCGAAGCTCCTTAGGTGTTGAAGCCAACATGGAAACTCAGTTTTATTGCATTCAGATGCCTACAGATGTTCATACTGCCTGTGATGCTTCTGCCTCCCAGGTGGCCTTAATGTAATCCAGAAACCCTGTTATGCTGTGCTCCTATATGTCTTAGCACTGAGTTGTGATTACAGCTGTGTGTGTCTTTCTCTAGCACACTGCATTTACTTCTCTGAAGAGTGGAACCCTCTCTTATTCACCTCTTGTGCCTGGCATGACCCAGAGTAGAGGCCGAAAGCACACATTTGATGACTGAGTGAATTCAGAAATTAAGTCTTTTCTGCTGATCCCTGTTTCCACCATTCCCTCTCACAGGATGCTTACTCCATTCCTCATCTGACAGCAAGAGCCAGAGAGATCTCTGAACTGGCCCGGTGTGTTGCTTACTGTTCTAGGTGGAACCCCGTTACCACCACGAGATTGGAGTTTCTCTGCTTTAATTTTGATTTTATGGAACAACAAAAGTGTTTCAAAGGATTTCTCTGGAGCCTTGTGATTTAGGGCTGGAGCAGATAGAAAAGAATGAGTTCACGTTGGAGGGGTATTCCCAGTACAGGGCTCTGCAGTCTTACAAATCCCATGGTGCTGTGCTAGTCCACCCCTCCCGTGTTTCTGGCATGTACTTAATGTTTTCTCATCATTTTGTCATTAGTTTTGGTCAGTGAGGTAGTCTGCTAATAACTTGGCATTAATAATGTCTTTGTGTGGGAGTGAATCTTGGCAGGGAGCTTAGAAACGCATGCTTCTGGGATGTCATGACTGTGTGATGGGCAGCTGCGTGCCTTCTGTAACCCAGATGTGTAATTGGTTCAGAGGAAATACATCTTTGAGGCTAATATTACCTGTCTTTCTTCAATTCCCTATATAAATATGTTTGGAGATATTACACTGATGATTGGAAGCTGTCAGGATACCATGGGCAATAATGTGGTTAAAGGCTATTAAGCAAGCTTTTCCAAATCGAGAAGCCATTCTGATTAACCCATTCAGTAATAATTTTGAAAGCAAAGTATTCAGAAGAATGTATTTATCTCTAGCCAAGTAATTAAAATGCCAATCTCTTCTATGATTTCAGAGATCTCAGCCTCCTTAAAAAGCCCTCAAGAGCCTCAGTATCATTATTCAGGTAGGTCAACTGAGCTAAACTTGTGTGATTCTGCACGTGTAAACAGAAACATAGATCAATTCCATGTTATTGATACAGCTCCGATTTAGAAAATTTTTCACTCTGATGGGAAGAATAGATTTCCTACCAAGGCATTGACTTGGAAAAACAAGTTTTCAAGATTTAAGAGAGTTCACATTTAAAAATGTCTGTGTTGGTACATTCCAAATTGTGAAGAAGAAAGATTCCCCGTGGATCTAAAAAGTCCTGGCAAGCTTGGAGCCAGCCCAAAGCTAGATATGTCAGTGTTTTGAACAGTGCCTTTGTATTTTTCCTTTTCTTATTACCATGCTGGAGTTTGAACCCAGAGCCTTGTTAGACAAGTGTTCTACATTGAGCTGCATCTCCAGCCTGATCTTAGTATTTTAAAAAATATTTATTATTTTTATTTTATGTGTATGAGTGTATTGCTTGCATGTAAATGTGCCCATGCCGTACAATGCCCATGGAGGTCAGAAGAGGGCGTCGGATTCCCCTGGAGTCACAGATAGTTGTTAGCCACTGTGTAGGTGCTGGGAATCAAACCCAGGTTCTTTGTAAGAAAAGCCAGTGCTCTTAATTCCTGAGCCATCTCTGCAGCCCCAAGCATTTTGGATTGGGAAAAGGGTAGATGTGAAAGTACTTTAAGGGAGGGTTACACCTTCCCAGGTCCCTCAGTGAACATAACCCCTGAGTAGATGCCAACCCCACAGAATAAGTTCAACAAAGATGCTTTGCAAAGATGCTATTAAACAGATGTCAAGGGTCTTGACGCTATCGAGCAATGCTTCACAATGCTTCAGTTGTCTTTTACTTTCAGAGTGGGAATGGCTGTCCTTGCCCTTTCTTGTGGACAGTCTGCCAAAGGGCTAGTTGAGAATTAAGAGGAAAATACTTTGAAATGTAAATCAATATAGACCAGCTGGACTTGTGCCACAGTGTGAGTTCTTGGGGGGGGGGGGGTATTGCTCTAAGTAGGTGAGGTAAATGCTGGGACAAGTCTTTACACAGTCTAATACCCTGTGACTGAGTAAGACCTTTCTGGTGTTATGATTACCAGTCTTATTATATCAAGGTCATTTGTTTGGGGTCTCATAATAGATTATCTTATCTGGAAGCCTCCTCTGTGGTAAATAACGTTCAGTGGATTCCAGACTCCTCATTCTAGGCTTTTTAACTGGGTCCTACAGCTCAGCAGTAATCTATTATTTTAACTCCAGCTGTCAACTGTAGAAAGTCTCTGGTGAGAAATACTGTAACTCATACTGACTCTGATCTGTTAGGGTACTGCTCTTAACAGGAAAATGTAGATCACTTGCTTCTAATTAAAATTAGTTTTCCAGTCTCTTTGGGAAAAAGAAGACGAACTCTTCAAAATCAACAGTAGGTGTCCCCATAGACCACTGTGCATTGGGTTTGCTTTGGAAAAAGAAAACCAAGAAAAGCAAAAAATGAACACTGATTAAAATCAGTTTAAAAGAAAGTCGTACATAGTATTTGAGTTAGTGTCTGATTTGTTACTCAGAAGAGTGGGGAGATAGCCCTTCCTTACATTATGCTACATAACTTCATAAAAGTTTCCTAAGACTGGGATAGCTTTCCTGTTTATGTTTAAAATTCTTATTTATAATATTTCTGCTAGTAGAGAAAATCATGTATTTGAAATGGAATATTCTGGAATTTATAACTGTATTGGTGTGGGGGGCTTTCTGTAAATTTAACCCACTGATGCAGACCTAAAGTAATCAGTCTGTTTTTGTTTGTAGCCATTGAAAGGAATAATTTAATGAGGCTTTCTCAGACTATACCATTTACACCAATCCAGCTGTTTGGTGAGTAACATCTCTCCCTTTCTGAGGCCAGGCAAGGGTAGAGTGTAATGTTGACATACAACACATAAGCCATGCTGCATCATGTGACTTGCAAATTCATTTTGACCATGGTTGTAGAGTAAGAAGATTCATTTTCTGAAACAGAAATTCTTACTGACTACCATGTCCAAGTGACCTTGGTATTATGGTGAAGCTGGTACTGTGGATGGGACCTACAGGGTCCTGCAGCTGGGAAGAAAGCGTGGCACTGCACCTGGAAGTCACTAATTCTAGTCTGGAAGCACACAGGGAAGAAAAGAACAAACCAGCCTAATATAATGAATACAGAAGAAAGTGCTGCTTGTCAATACGCTGAAAGTCGACAGCATGGGAAGGGAAAGCCTTTGTTTTTATATTTGTTTGGTTTGCTTTATGTACATGGATTGCTCTTACCTTAGAATGCAAATTTCAGTCTTTTTCTCTTTTAAAGCTGGAGTAGTAAATAAAAATAAGTTTGTGCTGGCCAAGGGCACCCAAGTTTTTTCTGTCTAGCAGGATAAAGCATGAGCCCGTTGCCAGTATAACAAGGTCCCCACACTGCCCTCCATCTGCATTCTTCTCTTCCTCTCCTCCTGGGGAGAGGCCAGGTTGGCTTCTGATTGCTAATGCAGATGCCTTCTTCCACTTGGCTCCGTGGTTCACTTTGCAAATCAATACTCTACTCGAAATCCTCTGGGGTTTAGGACGCCAAAGAGCTCTTTAGTGGCATTTATCTGGATGCCAAGAATAAATGTTTGAAAACATATTACCAAAGATTCCTGAGATACATTTATGGTAAGAAATTGGATGCAAGGGTAAGGAGACAGGTGGGTTCCTTTCTGTTAGCTTAGTACAATGTTCACAGAAAGCAAACAGCAAAAACTAAAATAACACACATTTGAAGCAAAGATCTAAGGGTTAGGGTAGCCTTGAAGGCCGTCTGTGTGGATTGTTACTCCTGTTTTGTGCTTGCACTGTCCAGAAATGATTTCTTCTTGTTCTATAACCTTAGCGTGGGAACTGTCTAGCAGCTAAGCAACATGTTGTCCCTTTAGTGGATTGAGTCTGTATTTGAGTTTGTAGTTCACTGTGATTATGTTTACCGTTTAATCCTAACAACAAACCACCATTATCGTTCCATTTTACTGACAAGAAAATGGAGGATTTAAGTAACTCTTTAAAGGGCACAAAAGTAGATGGTCTAGGCTCTGGAATACAACCTTGGTACTGATTCCTGTTGTGTAAAATCAGGCATTATCATTGAAGTAAGATATCACCCCTTATGGAGTGAGAAAAACAAAAACCAAACCCAGACCAAAAAAAAAAAAAAAATTCACCACGCTCATGTTTACAGCAGAGGTACACATATAGCCGTAAAGATACAGAGCATATTTTTAAATGTTAATATCATATGAAGAGCAGCTCTGAAGAGTGCTTGCTCCTTAGTAATGAGCGACTGTAGGCTAGACTGACTCTATGAGTCAGGTGTTATGGCACTTAGGAGGCTGAGGCAGGAGGATCACAAGTTTGATGCTAACCTGGGATTTATAATAATTTCTAGGTCGGCTTGGGTTATAAACCAAAACCATGTCTCAAAAAAGTCTTAGCTGTGCCGGGTGTGGTGATGCGCACCTTTAATCCCAGCACAGATCTCCATGAGATTGAGGCCAACCTGGTCTACATAGCAAGTTTTAGGCCAGCTGGGGCTATAGGGCGAGCCTGTCTCAGAAAACTGAAAAAAAAAAAAAAAAAGTTTTAGTAAACCCATAACTGCTTTGGTATTGTTTTTGTTCAGTTAGTGTATAGTAAGTGCAACTTAATGCTTACATGCTGTCTGGTGCTTCTTCCCACCTTTACTAGACAAACAAGGCTGATATGTGCTCTGACTCTGCTCCAGCTCCTGCTGGCTGCATTCTCTGATGCTCAGGGCACTTTACATCCCAGACCTGCTGTCTCATTGAACTGGCTGTCACTTCTCATTGCAGCAGGGGAAGAAGTGACCATCTACAAGCTAGAAGAGAGCTCTCCTCTGACCCTCGATAAAAGCATGTCCTCTTGGTCCCCGCATGGGAGAGCCGCAATGATCCAAGTGCTGTCACAAGAGGAGATAGATGGGGGCCTCCGCAAAGCCATGCGGGTCATCAGCACTTGGTCTGAGGACGATGTTCTCAAGCCCGGGCAAGTTTTCATCGTGAAATCCTTTCTTCCTGAGGTTGTGCAGACGTGGCATGAAATCTTCCAGGAAAGCACTGTGCTTCATCTTTGCCTTAGGGTAAGCCTGAAGCTTAGTGGTCCAGAGCCCACATGAACAGGATAAGTGCGTTGAGATTAGGCTTTGTCCTTACCAAATGGTATTTTTCAATCCAAAGGGAGTCTGTTTTATTAATTAATTAATTAATTTGGTCTTTTTGAGACAGGGTCTCCCTGTAGCCCCAGCTGTCCTGGAACTCACTATGTAGACCAGGCTGGCCTTGAACTCACAGAGATCCGCCTGCCTCTGCCTCCCGAGTGCTGGGATTAAAGGTGTGCGCCACCACGCCCGGCGAGTCTGTTATTTTTTAAGGCGGTGGTTTCTAGTATTTTTGCTTTGTAGAACTTTTGGGGTATGGAGTGGTAGAAGCTAAATAATATTAAGCATTATATTTGGGGAGCCTCTAGGACTTTCGTGTGAGCCTTAATAAGTAAGAGTATGTTGTAAACCAGTATTTTTTTATATCAGTTCTTCCTATTTTTTTATAGGAAATTCAGCAACAAAGAGCTGCACAAAAACTAATCTATACTTTCAACCAAGTGAAACCACAAACCATTCCCTACACACCAAGGTGAGGCTATCTTGGCACTATGGTCCCTCATTGTAAGGAGAATTTCTATTAACGTCTCAGCCCAATAAACATGAGAAATACCAGGCCCTTGGGAAAGTTCCTCATGACTTTTGTTTGGGTTCTTCCTTCTATAGTTATGTAGGTTGTTAAAAAGGTAATTAGATGTCCCTGAAATACCTTGTCTGGAATCCCTGAAGTTATATGAGTGGAAAGAAGTTCGGAGAGATTGATGACCAACCAATTGGCTGAGACAGGCAGATGCTACATGTAGTGACCAATGGCCAGGGGTATCACCGGTGGAGAAACGTGTATTTTAAGCATATTTTCTCCTCTAGTATCCTAAACCAACTAGGAACTTTGTAAGCATGAACTTTTGTGACTTTCACTTAGGTGACACACTTGTATTCACTTATCAAGACAGATCATAATTTGGTGCTAAGGACTTACAGTAAAGCTGTTTTTCATTTTACAAAAATCTTTATAGAGCTGGGCAAGAAATGTTGGGTCTGGTACTTATAGAAAAGTTGGAAAGTTTTCTAAAAAACAAAAACAAAAACAAAAAAAAAAAAAAGAAGAAAAGGGAGGTAAGTAAGCATGGGAACAAATCTCCGAGTTGTTGGGTTTCCTCCTTTCATAGAAAGCACAAGGTGAAGCTCAGTAAGACTACATCTGGCCACCTAGGTGACAGCTGCTGCGGAGTGCTCTGTACTGTAACTAACATGTTTGCTGTCTTGCATGAGATCATTGGCCTCTTTTTTCCCTCCCAGGTTCCTGGAAGTTTTCCTAATCTACTGCCATTCAGCCAACCAATGGTTGACCATTGAGAAGTACATGACAGGGGAGTTCCGCAAGTACAACAACAACAACGGGGATGAAATTGCCCCCAGCAACACCTTGGAGGAACTGATGCTGGCTTTCTCCCACTGGACCTACGAGTATACTCGGGGAGAACTGCTGGTTTTGGATTTACAGGGTAATGAACTGATGATGCAGGAGGCAAAGTTCACAGAGCTCTTACAACGGCCAGGGTGGGCCGTGCGTGGAGTTGCTCCACTGAGCTTGGTAGGGTGATGCAGATGTTTAGTTCAGAGGTGTTGCACAGTGATGATGCCGAGCACCTGCTGTACTGTGTCCTACTCAGATGGAGTGGGAAAGGTAGGCAGATGATTAACTAGAGCTAAAATTTTGAGCTGGATGTGTAAGATTTTTGTAGTGTTTGTTTCAGTTTTAGGGCTTTGCCTTGGTTTTATGTTCACCATAGAACAAGAAAGTTTAAATTCTGGGTATTTTTTCATCATTTTGAGTTTATTACCTTGGCGATTTATAATTTACTGTGCTTTCTTTGACATGTCCCTTGATATGACAATTCAGGAAAGTCCTTGGAGTCATCTGAGAGAGGGACGCAGTACATTCATTTAACAGAGTCTTTGATCAGCACATCTCCCACTATCAATACCTCCTGTGGGATGTCTAATCCCCAACACATTCAGACCGTCTCCAGCAGCCTTTCCTTGTAAGGAGGGCGTGAAGTATGTGTTAAGGTCAAAGTTTAGTCCTTGAGCTCACTGACTAGGGCTTTGGTTTCAAATAGGGAATTTAGCCCAGAGACTGTCACAGAAGTTACCTCATGTAATCATAGAAGCAGCACTTGGAGGCAGATATTATGGGGAATTTAGCCCAGAAAGTTTCTTGTCTAAGGTTGCACAGCTTCTTAAAGGGGCGCTGGGATACAGACGAGCTGGCTCAACTCGCCTATTCTTTTCTTCTCACCATCCTGTTTCGTTAAGAATGCCATACCAAGAGGAAATAACTGTCATATAGTGCATTTAACAACGTGGATCTTTTTCTTGTCCCCTCTGACTTTCCTAGCTCTCCAGTTCTGGGAAAAACCGGGTTTGGAGGCTGGGGAATGTCACAATAAAAAGACACTCTAGGGCATCCAGTGCAATGTCCAGGAAGATGCAAAGTCACTTTGAAATTTGTGTTACATGCTTAATGATCCATGTGTACTTTCAAAAATGCATATGTTAGGAAGTACTTCTGCTTTTCCTGCTGTTCACAATGTTGGATTAGATTTCTAACCCTCAAACACAGTATTTCAGGAAGGAATATAAATGAAATTAAAGTGTTCAACATGATTCAACTTTTTATACCAGCAAGCACTTGATGAATATAAACCCAGAGTGTGGGTGCCTGAGGCATCTGTTTTGCAGCTCAAGTTGGGAAAGGCTGATTGTTTTCATCTGTTCCCTACTGTTTGTGCTTTGAGTTTTGGGTGGAGTTGTTTAAAAAGCAAAAACAGAAACAACAACAACAAACAACCAAAGAAAAACTTTAAGGATTAATGATGACTCTTCAGTGTGTTTTTGTATTCCACTTGAATAGGTTTTTGTTTAATGATGTTTATGTTTGGGGATTTTTATGTCTCTTAGTAATCCAAACTGACATTAAACAGAACAAATGCTGCGATGATAGTCTTGGGGGAAAAGGGGAATTAACTTTATTCTTTTCCTGAGTAATTATGTGAATTGCTGAAATAGGCCACTCCAAAAAAACTACGTCAAAACACTGACCTTCAAAGAAGGCATGAGTAGACATCACAGAACCATAGGATGGGTTTGATGCAGTGTGCAATGTTTATCAGTGATCCAGGCTAGCTGGTCAGGTCTACATTTATGGAAAAACACAAATCTATAACTAATTACAAGCAGTTTTCATGCTTCTGCTAGCTGGCATTTACTAAGTATTTCGTGTCAGGTACTTGCTAAGGCTTACATGCATTTTCATAATACAAACCAGGTTGGAGAGGAAAATCATGCTTTCAAGATTTCTTTTTAGGTTCTTTTTTAAAAAATTGCATTTCATTTACTAGTCTTTCTAGTTTTTGGAGGGATGATGCCCTTTGCCTGGTGGCGGCTCAGTCATCACCTTTAGGAGGAGGCTGGAGTTTGACTCAGTTCACACTGTGAGCTGAGCTGCATGCTCCAGAGGAGTTAACCACCTTGAGTCCCACCTCCATGATTTGTAAGTGAGAAAAATAATACTATGCACATAAGTCATTAGGTTGTTAAGGAGCTCAAGTGAGACATGCTCTCTACATAGAGCAAGCCCTCAGTAAATGTTAGGTATGTTGCTAGCAGTAATCTTAGAGTAGATCTTTAAAATGGAATTTAATCTTCAGGTTTTGGGAATCTGTCCTTAGCTGTGTGGCCCCAGCAATACCTCAGGGAGACCCCCCCTCCCACTTTAGCCTCTGTTCCTTACAACTTTCAAGGGCGGAAGGACAGAGAAACACTTGGGCGGTTGGTTTTTCTCAGTTCCTCCTTTTCTCTTCTTTTGTTCTTCAAAGAAGGTGCCAGTTGTTAGCCCAGAAGCCGCAACAGCAGGCTAGAAAGCTGAGCTCTGAGGAGAGGCATAACCGATTTCTCATCATTTATAATTATACTGTTTTTTTCCAATATTTTTCCACTTAAAAATTCTACATGGGAGGCCCTGAATCATCATTACACTTGGAATCCAACATTTAATTCCCAGGAATGGAAATGAAAAACAATAGCATTTCAAATTAGAGTGATGTGTAGCTTTTTTTTCTTATCATGCTGTTTCATAGGACTTTGGAGACACACTATTAATTTTTTATTTAATAAGGTAGTTTCCAGACTAAGTCAGCACCCATATTATCATGACTGGTGCTACTGCAAGCAAGGTGGCTAGCTTGCACAGATGTGGCAGTTCATTGATTAAGTGGTTATCTTTCTTCTATTATCTGGGTATGGGCATTTACTCATGTTGAGCTTGGCAAAGAGATATTATTGGAACTTTAATGTCTAATGGCTTATCTTTTCTCTGTTTTCCAAGTGCCAGGAGAATCCGAGGCAATATGAGCTCAGTCAGGTGGCTGCTGTGTGACTGGCCTGGCTGAGTGAATGTGGAGAGCACTGCGCTGTCAGTGCTGTGGGCTGCCGTCTTTGTTCATAGACTGCAAAGTTCTGTTTGAACACACACACACACACACGCACGCACGCACACACGCACACACGCGCACACACACATGCACACGCACACGCACACACGCACACGCGCACATGCACACACACGCACACACACACACACGCACTCACACACGCACGCGCACACACACACACATATTTAGTGTTTAAACTTTGAAATAGAAAACTGGGTCTACGGGCCCCTTAGAAAAATGAGATTAAAGAGTACCCATAGACCCAGAAACGTGACTTTACTAGTGGTAAGAAAATCAAATTTCACTTTATGAGAGATTCTACATAGAATAAAGATAATGAAACTACATGAACACTTTTCGGCTTCTCAAGGGTCAGAGGCCACAGTTCAGTTAACCCTCTCAGTGAGTCTCTCAGATAAGGCCCCGTATACCCCACTTTCAGATGACAAAATTTGGCTTCAGAGAGATTAAGGACGGTATCCAGCCCTCACAGTCAGAAAATGGCAGAACTTGGGTGAAGCTCCCGTCCTCTGACTGTGTCTCTAACAAGCCACAGGGTTTAGAATGTGCTGATGAGATTTGGAGAGATTTTTTTTTTAGACTTCCTTTTTCTAATTAATACTGCAAATATTCCTAGCTTAAATTAACACTTTCCTCAGACATCAGCCTAAAGCTTTCATCGTGGCTGTGAAGTCCAGACTTAAAGTTCAGCCAGTGGTTAATCAAAGCAGCAAAGAATTTGTGGTTGCCAGCTTCCCTACCCTTAGCACTGGGGATATATATTTGCCTGTCATTCTGTTTCTTCACTCCATGATTTTAGAAAAGCAGGGCTCTTTCAGCTCCTTGTCATATGACGAGGAAAGTATAAAGAATACCTTCCTGGGACTTTGGAAAAAATCAAGGGCTCAACTGAGACCAGTTTGTACATTTTCCTTGCGTTCATGTTTTGGTTCCACCCTTTCATTCCCTATTTGGACTCAATGTGAAAATTTCCAGGCTAGGAGTTTTTAAAGGGCTCCTGGGTTATACTCAGTGAGCCTGTAAGCTTTGATGTGAAAAGAAGTTATTGTCACTAGCCCAGAACTGAAATTCACCATCTTCAGTTATTATGTGGACCACAACCCACAGTGACATCATTACCTGTGACTGTGACATGAGCAATTGTAGATCTCGACATAGCACCTTGCAATGTTGGCAGATATTTCAAAACAGTTTGTAATTATCACTTGTGGGATTTTTGGTGGTTAATAGACCTGGGCTAGATCCCGTTATTTAATGTACTAGGAATGAAACACATGCATATATTGCAATATAGCAATTAAAATATTTTGATAGATAACTATTTCAGAATCACTGATTTCCTTTAAGGTGTTAAATATATATTTAAAATATACATGTTAAAACGTTTTCAGAAGAAGTTTCCTTACTTCACTAAACTGACAAAATCATAGAACAGCCCCCAAATGTTGAACACCCCTATTCTAATCCCTAGGCTGCTCTAAGTTATTTGCGTGGGCAAATCAGTCTGTTAGAGGTATTAGCTTTTCTTGTGAAAGGCTTACTGCTGTAAAAGATGCGGATCACTGCAAAAGTCTTTAAAAAATACTGGCTAGAAAACATGAGCTATTTTCAACAAGTAGCAATACATAACAATATTATAAAGTTCATGTAACTTTTGAATAATCATCCCACAAAGTTAGTTTCTTTCAAGCAACAAAAACAAGCACAAGTTAAGAATGATCTCAGAAGTTGCTGGGTGTACCCAGATGGCTCATTCACCGTCTAACTGGCTTACCTGAACCACTATCACCATGAGAAATTAGCCTCTTTACTAGTCGCATTTTATAACAGAGATTCACTTTGGGTGTTGAATGCGGTTCTGATAACAATTTTGCTTATGTTATTTTTCAGGCTTTGGTCTTATCTTTTGTTTTTCTTTTTTTTGAGACAGGGTCTCTTTGTAGCCCAGCTGACCTGGAACTTGCTATACAGACCAGGTTGGCTTCCATCTCACAGAGATCCACCTGCCTCTGCCTCCCAAGTGTTGGGATTAAAAGCATGTGGCACCACACCTGGTCCTGGTCTCATCTTTTTAAAACTAAATTTCTCGTTACTGAAGACACATTCAAAAAAGTGCACCTAGCATAAGCATACACCTCAAAGAATTTTCTCAGCTGAATACACAGGTAAAACAAGCTCTCAGATGAAGAATTTGGTTTATAGGTGATATATCTATATATATCTCATTTGATGTATCTCTGATGCACAGAGGCTGTGTCTGCAAAACCTCACAGGGCTTTGCCCCTTGCTGAGCACTAATGGAGACCATCTAAGGGGACATGAACTAGGGGGAGGAGCACAAGCTTTGCCCCAGCTTTAATCCTGTTGTGGCTGCTTATGGACTAAGCAATTTTTGGCAAATTCTTTAATCTCTTTGAACCTCAGTGTACTCATTGATGTAAATGAGGATAAGATGTAAATTGAGGCTATGAGGATAATATTTTTCTTTCGTGAGAATTAGAGAAAATAAAATTAAACTTCTATGTATACCAGTGCTAACAAATGACAGATGCCTCTATCAGAGACTGTGAGGACACCACTGAGACAACTCATTTGTGGACAGATGCTTATTAAAACAGAGGGGGCTGCTGCAGGAGACAGCGCATTCAATAAACTTTTCTAACTTACCTAAACAATTTTATAATACATTTAATTAACATGGTACTTAAATTACTATAGAGTGAGTATAATCTGTTTTGTTTTTTTTTTTTTTTTGGAGTCAGGGTCTCACACTGTAGTTCAGGTATAGAACTCACTGTGTATATCAGACTGGCCCCAAACTTGTGGCAATTCTCCTGCCCTAGCCCCCTAGTGCTGTTTATTTCAGGTGTGAGTTACCACACCTGACCTGAATGTAACCTTCAGGGGAAAAAGTAAAAAGAAAGCAGGATTTGGTTATTATTTTTCTGAATTTCTAAGAAAATGAACCCTCATTTACTAAATGAATTTTGTTTCTTCTTTTTAGGTGTTGGAGAAAATTTGACAGATCCATCTGTTATAAAACCTGAAGATAAACAGTGAGTTGATTTATGTGTTATCATTTAGATGACTGCATTCAATTTGCTCATATTTTTAACATTTTTAATTGTTTCATAAAATACACAAATTTACATATTAATGAGTATCATGTAACATTTTGATATCTGCATAGATTGTATAACATTTAATGGTACTTAAAAAAAACAGCAAAAATGGTCAAAACATTGTGAATAGAGTTGAGCATTAGTTTCTTGAACAATTGTGAACATACATGTTTCTTTTTTGTCCCAAGAAGGTTTGCAGACAGCTGTTGCCACTTTGACTAGGAAATAAGAGTATAAAGAAAGAATGAAAGTAAAATAAGATAAAATCTAGAGCTGTGTTAGGAAACAGAACTGGAGGTTATAATGCTGTCTTCAGAATTTGGCTACAAATTTGATTCTCAAGTTTTCTACTGGTCTGAACAAAAGAGAAACGTGTGAGTTTAGCTCCCTCAGGTTTTGACATCAAAATAATGTCATAGGAGAAGCAGTTTCCTTGGTCACCTTCATAGTGGAGTCACTCAACTGAGCCAGGACAGCATCTTCACAGGCACACAAAACAAGGGCTGAACTCATGAAATACTGTTCCGTAACAGCCATGTGATGAGAGCTCAAAGCCAGGGGGCTTAAACATGAGGCATCTATGGTCTCACTTAAGTTGGAGCCAAGTTATGTAGAGGGATGAGTCATCCACCTGCCATTTGAATTCCTGACAAATTTTGTGATTTTTTGGAGACCTGGCACTACAGGCTCTGATGTGTTCTGTTGAAGATAGAATACAAAGATGTGATGGTGCTGACTGAATGATGACTGATCAATAGGGCAGACAACATGAGTTTACATCATGATCAACAGGAGAGCTTGTTAAAACTGACTGCTGGGTTCCAACCACAGAGTTTCTGATTTAGTAGTTTTAGGATGGGGCCTAATAATCTGTGTTTCTAACATGAGGCTGATACTCTTCTTCATCTGCAGACATTTTGAGAATTGTGAGCTTAATATAAATTTTATTTCTTAAAGAATCTCTTTTTTAATCGAGACAAAACTTTCACCACTGTAGTCCAGACTTACTCCGAGCTCTCCATCCTCCTGCCTCTGCTGCCCTAGTCTTGGGATTAGAGCACCCATGCTAAGTTAATATTTTTATTTATTAGTCAACATAAGGGTCTGTACTTGGTCCCTGGGTTATAGAAAACATAGGACTAAGCAAGTGGACAGTCCTACAGTAGTAAAATGTGAAAGTTTTTACTGTCTTTCTCCTGGAACTCATATTAGATAATCACTGCTTTAATGCCCTATTCTTTTACTGAATGGTTTTACACAATCTAAATGCGGTCCCATCTATAGACTCATATACAAAGAAACCTACCTTCTAAAAGAACTAGGCATGAACTGGGCCAGGTGAGCTGGAGAAGATATAGATGATCTATATTGCTCATATGCAGCATCTAATTCCTGTAATACTCATTTGACTATGGAGTCCATCTTCTAATCTTTAGGGTATACAAGGATTTTTTTTAGTTTCGTAAAGCTAAAGTGTTTTCAGCTCAGAATATCATTTCTTTAGCAGTCCTGTGCCCAAGGGCTTATGGCAGGAAATTTGTTTTATGAGAACTTCTTTTACAATTTCAGTGCAGTATTTTTGCATTTATAATGAACTCAGTTTGTGTCTACTGTCTATTGTTCTGTCTATTGTTCTTTAAATATTGACCTTGGCATATATCATTTAATATGACCTGAATATTCCATCATTTTACTATTCTAAGATTATAATATTCCACTTGACATTTAGGTATTTAATTGCATTCTATAGGAAGTGGGTTTCAATTTTTATTAAGATCACCCAGGGAATTAGAAAAAATATGCCTAAGCTTGGCATCCTGCTAGAAGATTTGAATGAGGCCTGGTGTCTGTATTTTTTTTAATGTTTCCCCATATATTTCTATGAGATTATTATGACAACTTTGTTTTTTGTGACTCAAGGACAGCATCTTCCAAAATGGATAAAATGGCATCAGTGTGACTGCCTTGTTTTGTGGGAGCACCAAATTCTGTGTTTAGTTGGTCTTTGCAGTGACCCTAACAAGTTTTATTTTCTCATGACTAATTAGTTCAATTAGAACTATATGCAATTAATTCAATGAGGCTCACATTTTTGAATGCCTTCCATGAGTGTGAAACCCTTCTTAAACAAGGTGTGAACCATAGACCAACAGCACCAGCATCATGGGACGTTGCTGGAAATGCACTGTCCCCAGGCCCTCTCTGGACCTAGTGAACCAGAGCCTGAATTTTCATAAGATCTTGTAGTGATTTATTGTAAATTAAAGTTTGAGAAGCACAGATATAAACTTTGGGTGTAAGCATTTTCAAACCTGGTTCACAAATAAGGAAACTGAGGCTCACTTAAAATCATAACCTGTCTATGAGGCAAAGGAGTCAATGAAAGCGATCCGTCGTCTGTCAAAAGGGATGAGGATTTTTTTAGTATAATTCCATTTTTTTTATGTCTACTCCTGCTGTCTGTAACTCCCTAACCTGCTTCATTTATTGGTAGTTTGGGATTATATCTTTTTAGCTTACTGCCTGATGGTTTTGGGCATTTGACAAGTATGAGATGATATGTTCTTTAGTAAATCTATGTATAGACGGCACTAATTAGCGTTTCCTTGCATGTGGAACCAAGCTACCACCTGCTTTTCCTGTGTTGTAAAAAATATGGAAAATAGCTAGTTGTATTTTTTTTTTAAACTTAGCTATTGGAGACTGCAAGACTGGAGGCATGCTGTAGGCTAGACATGCAAATGAGCCCCCCCCCCCTTACTCACCCTGCTCTGGGCGCCATCACGACCCTCATATATAGTCTGTGGTACTTTTGATTGTTTCACCTCAGTTTTCATGAAGCCCATAGAGACAAATGGTTTAGCTTACAGATTTACCTGAGAAGAGTGTATTTCTAAGTTGGGGGGTCTTCACACTTTCATGGGAGGAATGAAGTGGTCGGTGTGGGGTGTAAATAGGTGAAATTTTCCAGTGAGGTCAGGCAGAGAGACTCCAAGGGATTCTTCATGCGAATGACTGGACGAACACCTTCGTTTTTCACTTTATCGGATTGGAGAGTTCTGGGCTGAACACTGAGTGATTCTGCTTTTCTGCCACCTGCAGTTTCACCTTACTGAAGTAGTGTCTTACCAGATGGACTGGTAAGTTAACAAGAGGTGGCTTATGCTGCTGGATAAATACCACCAGGGCTGTTCTTTGTGAGAGTGATTGAGTGACCAGGAAAGTTAATCCCCAGTGTCCTTCCACTGTCTCCCCAAGAGGTTTCCTCCACCTACCTGGTGCAGGGCAGGGAGGCAACGTGAGACCAAACTGACATCAGCCCTCATTCTGGGCTTGGCAGATCTTCAGAGCAGCTGCTGTTCTTCTGCCAAAAGGAAGTAGAAATGGAGATAAATGTTTCAGTCGTAAGATGGAAAAAAGTCCATTTTTACACCATGTCCCTTTTGAAAAACCACATTCCTTAGAAGCAAAGTTTATTGTTTCCTTTTGTGATAGTCTGCTTTTTTTCTTTTAAGAGGTGGTATTTAAGAGCTGTAATTGAGTTCAGATTTTTAAATGTGCTGTTTCCACTGTGCATGTCATTAAAGTAAAATATTAGCTTTCATCAAGTTTATTTGGAAGTATTTCTGCTGTGCTCTGTTCTGTGTTATGCAGAGGGTCAAAGTCTAGAGAATAATCGTTGTGTGAACAGCAATCTTAGAATCTGCCAAGGATCTTTATGTTAGAGTATTCAAAACTGTGTCTTATAGGCATTGATGCTGTTTATAATTATGTCACCTAGAATGAGCATATGTGGTTTACTCCCAACAAACTTTTTGTCTAATCGAAGTCTTGTCTTCCCACAAAGAGCTCATTTACAACAATTTGCAGAGTAGAAAGTGACTTCTGGGGGCTGGAGAGGTGGCTCAGCGGCTAAGAACACTGGTTGTTCTTGCAGAAGACCTGGGTTTGAATTCCAGCACCCACATGGTAGCTAACAACTGTCTGTAACGCCAGTTCCAGGGAATCTGACAGCCTCTTCTGTCCTCCGCTGGCATTGCACAACACGGGTGCAGTTACACGAAGGCATAACACTCATACACATAAAAAATAAAAATAATAAATAATAAAAAGAAAGTGACTTTCATAAAAAGTCAGTAATATTGACTTTTCAGTCAATATTGAAATTCAGTCAAGTGTTTGGGGATAGTTATTTTCAGAAGTATTTGGGTGCGCAGCAGTGCACACATGTATTATAGAAGGTGTGTTCCAATAGCAAAGCTGCTTTCTACTTTACCTTTCGGATATTTTCGTAGAACATTTGGTAGTGAATGTCATTCTCTCACCCCATATGCATTCAAAAGAGTTTCACTGTATTTTGTTTTAATGGAGCACATAGAAAATTCACTCTTCTATCAGATTAGTGTTGGAATGAGTTTCACAGTAGGTCTTGTGGTTGGGCACAAAGATTTAAGTGCATTTGAATTTTAAATTTGCAAACCTAACATTGTTGCTTCCCCAAAGTGCTCTGTTCTTTGTTGGCTCCTTCAAGTGACTGGGTTACCATGGGATACTGTTCGGTATCTCAGAGAATCCTAGTTGAGCTCCTTTTTCTCAGCTGTGATCTAATTGATATTCTGATATTTCCTCTAGATCAAGAGGAATGGTGTTTGGACCGGCCAATTTAGGGGAAGATGCAATTAGAAGCTTCATTGCGAAACATCGCTGCAACTCCTGCTGCCGGAAGCTGAGACTCCCGGGTATGTGCGACGACACTATCTTCTCTAAGTAACTCTCTCATAGAACAACATCCATTAAAACTCGGGATCCAGTAGAAAATCTTAACCACATTTTTATCTCATTCACAGTCATTCACAAGCTTGACTTTCTGACTGCAAAATTTCAAGTCTCTAAAGGGATTAAAAGGATGGGGATTTACTTTAGGTGCTGCCAAAATGTGATAAAACAAACTGGGGCCCAGTGCTTGTTGCAATCCCTCCAAGGGAAAAGTTCCACCTACTTAAAAACGAGTGAAGTCAGACTAAAGCCTCCTGCCTCCCTTCGGAGGTCCTGTTTGGATCCAGACAGCATGCCTGTAGCATTTTTATTCTGTTCCGATTTGCCCATTGGATACTTGAGAGGGTGCGGCCCAGAGGGAAACAAAGGCTGTCAGTTAAAGTACTGTTTTATGCTGTTACAACCTGTTTCTTTCTTTACTTTTTTGTTTGTTTTATAGCACCGGGGTAAAACCCAGGACATTGTCACGCTAGGCAACTGCTCTACTCCTGAGCTATACTACACTTTCAGCCCCCAAACCTAGTGCTTTAATTTCTTAAAATTACATTTTATGTTCTCTCTCTCTCTCTCTCTCTCTCTCTCTCTCTCATTCGCCGTATGTGTGTGTATGTGCTCATGCATATGTGTAGCACAGTAACTATGTGGAACTCAGAGGACAACTTACAGGATTTGGTTCAGGTCATCAGGCTTGGGGGGCGGGTAGGCACCTTTACCAGCTAAGTCACCTCTCCAGCCCCAAAGCTACCACTTTAAAACATCTGATTTAGGAATATGACACATTTCTCTGCAGCCAATACAGTCACCCGGAAAAAGTATCCCACAAAAGACACAAAAGCAAATGGCTAAGACATTTCCCATTCAGCCTGGAATCCCACTCTGTTGGCATCTTTTCTTTTTACTTAGGAGGCCTTGCTCTCTGCCTCAGACCTCGTAACTCTTTTTCCTAGTACTCCACAACTTGTGTTTGCACTGGAATCTCACATAGTTTAAGATGAGTGATCCTTTCAACTTATGAAAAGTTAAAACTTTGAACTGGGCACTGTGGATGTGTCTATGGTCTCAGGTATTCCAGAGACTGAGACAAGAGGATCACCTCAGCCCTGGAGTTCACAGTCATCGTGGGTAGCATAGTGAGGCCCGGTATTTTAAGACAAACAAACAAGAAAGTCATACCCTGAACTAGAAATCAGCAAAAGACCATCAGCCCCTGTAACTCAGGAAAGAGCAGGTGGACATTTATAATAAGGGAAATTTCTTTTTTAAAAAAATATTTTATTATTTTTATTTTATGTGTACGAGTGTATTGCCTGCATGTATGTGAGTGCACCCGTGTTGTGCAATGCCGCGGAGGTCAGAAGAGGGCTTCAGATTCCCCTGAAACTGGAGTTAAGGATGGTTTGTAGCCGCCCTGCAGGTGCTGGGAATTGAACCCGGTTCCTCTGCAAGAGCGGTCGGTGCTCTTAACCGCTGAGCCATCTCTCCAGCCCCAATAAGGGAAATTTCTAATTCTGTTGACGTTGAGGATGGTTTTTGTGGGTTAAACATAACAAAGACTGGAATTTGGAGCAGGCCTCTAGTTCTTTCCTCCAGCAGTGGGAACAGAGTGTGTTAGCTAGGACAGCAGATGAGTTTGTGGAGGAGGAAGGTCAAAAGGGAGCAAAGAAGAGAGCTGTTATTCTTGTTAACTGTCTGTGATGTGGGTTCACAGAACACCCAGTGGACGGGCCAAGAGATCCATGCACAGCACTGTGTTCTCCAGGCTGGTCATCAGGAGCCCAGGAAGGGGTTGGAAGTGGGCTTCTAGATAAGGGAGGCAGGAGCTGTTAAGTATCTGAGTCATCCCATAATTGCAGGCTGGAGTCACCTCATAAATCAGTGTCTTCAGCACTGGACTCTGCCCAGTCTGAGTCACTGTGGCCCTGACAGGACAGTCTCCATTCTTAAAACCCAGGACTATATCTGATCATCCAGGAGCCAGGGAGGCAGAAGCCATTACTCGTTGCTTCCAATCCTTGAATCCACTTGGCTGTGTATAACACAACTGGTCCCCTCCCTGTTCTGTCCCCCTCCCCCACCCTTCTTCAGCTCCACTAGTGGATTTTGAGCAATTCAACAATTTCTCTATTTTTGGGCATAATTTCCATGTCTCCTTTTCAAACCTTAGTTTTTTATATTTTATTTAGTACGTGTGCAAGCATGCCAGCATGGGCATTCCATGGTATTCCTGGACGTCCGCTGTCCATTCTTTCCTTTCACTATGTCAGTCTGGGGATCAAACTCTGTCTGTCAGGTTTGGCAATAAATGTTTTTACTGACCAAACTATCTCAACATCTTTTTTCCCCCTAAAAGTAAGTTTATTTGTTTTAACATAGTTTTATCTCCTTTGAATATTTTAAATTTACAGAAAGTTGTAGGAATTTCCAGAGTCCTGACCCAGACTATCAATTGTGTTTATATGTGTGAAACCTTAGTTTTTAAAATTAATATTGAAGTGCAAATAAAGAAACAGCTTCGTTTCATATTGTCAGTAATCTGAATAAAAATA